TTCCCGGCGGATGTCAGGTGGTGCAATACCGGCTAAGCAGTGTAATTTCTCCAGTGGTGTGGGGCGCAGACACCCTTATAATGCGGCATGTCTCATTAAGAGCCACATCTACTGTTTTAGTGTGGTGAGATGTGTTCCACACTGGGCATGCATACTCAGCAGCAGAGTAGCATAGCGCAAGAGCAGATGTCTTCACTGTGTCTGGTTGTGATCCCCAGGTTGTGCCAGTCAGCTTTCGTATGATATTGTTTCTAGCGCCCACTTTTTGCTTGATGTTCAGGCAGTGCTTCTTGTAGGTCAGAGCACGGTCCAAAGTGACTCCCAGGTATTTGGGTGTGTTGCAATGCTCCAGTGGGATTCCTTCCCAGGTAATCCTCAAAGCTCGGGATGCTTGTCTGTTCTTAAGGTGAAAGGCGCATGTCTGTGTTTTAGATGGATTAGGGATCAGTTGGTTTTCCCTGTAATAGGCAGTAAGAGCACCTAGAGCTTCGGAGAGCTTCTGTTCAACCATCTCAAAGCTCCCTGCTTGAGTGGTAATGGCACGATCATCAGCATAGATGAAACTCTCTGTCCCTTCTGGCAGTGGCTGGTCATTTGTGTAGATGTGGTCATTTGTGTTGGTGTGGTAAAGAATGCTCTTTGATTGTAGGTGAACTATAAATCCCAGCAACTATAACTCCCAAATGACAAATTCAACACCCCCCAACCCTGTCAGTATTCAAATTTGGGCGTATCGGGCATTTGGACCATCCAGTGAATGAAAATATACTCTGCAGATCAGATATTTACATTACGATTCATAACAATAGCACAATTACAATTATGAAGTAGCAACGAAAATCATTATTTGGTTGGGGGTCATGGTATTAATTTTTTTTATTCAGGGGTCGTGGCATTAGGAACACTGAGCGAGTTGAGAAACACTGAGCGAGAGCATTAAATTCACACAGGTTTTCGCATAAATATTTGAATGCCAAGGGCTCCCTGGTGGTGTCTAAGGACAACGGCAGCTCTTTGGATTAGAAATGGAGATGAGGACCACAACCCAGAGTCAGACACGACTAGATTTAATGTCAAGGAGAAATATTTACCTTTACTTTATTTGAAAGATGTGGAAATGCTGTGTTTACTAATTTATTTTAACACTAGCCATCCCCTGCCATATGTTGCTGTGGCCCAGTCTGTGTATGTCTTTTGTGTGTGTATATATGTGTGCGTATATATGTGTGTATATGTGTGTTTGCGTATATATATGTGGTTTTGTGCATGCGTTGTAATGTATTTTTTATTTTTTGGCTTTTAAAGTCTATTCCACTGTGTTTTTCAGTGTTTATGTGAGTGTTGGCTTGATAGGTGTCCAAATTTGGTGTCAATTCGTCCCGTGGTTTTTGAGTTATGTTAAACTCACAAATGAACATTACATTTTTATTTATATAGATAACACTAATTTATAATATTCCTCCCACCACCCATACAAAAAAGCAGCTGGAAGGATTTACTGTAATACAGTGATGTTAAAATCAGCAGAGTCGTCACACAGGCTCATAGTCCTATGACAGCAAAGGCAACAGTCTTGTGTCATGTAAAAGAATAATATATTTTCTATTATGTGTGTCTTATGTCAGAGTCTCTGCAGCAGGCTAACATGGCCAAACCTCTGAAAATCATGAGATTAGAAATGATGACCTTTTGACTTGGGGCGTGTGAAAACATTTACTCTGACAACAAAGTTAAAAGAAAACATTTGGATTCTTTTACAAAAATGAATAACACGTGTGTTTTAACTGTGCAATGAACGAACGAATTCCTCAAAAAAGTTCTCCGAGGCAGGTTTGAACCCTGTGCCACGTGTCCTGTTCAAGGATCGCATTGTCTTTTGCAAACGTACAGTGTGAAGAATCGCATTGTCTTTTGCAAACGTACAGTGTGAAATATGAAGACGTATAATTATCTGAAAGGCAGCAGTCATTTAAGGTCAGTACTTTGTATTCCAAGCAGGCCACAGCAAGCTTTCCTGATGGAAATCAGCGTTTTATCTGCCAAGAATGCTTAAATTCAGGATTTTCTGCATAAAAAGGGGAGTGCACAGAGCTTTGCCAAGGTATGAGCCACTAATTCCAGCTCCACAACCAGTAATTCAAGATCCCAGACCATAGAATCATATAGTTGAAAGAGACCACATGGGCCATCTAGTCCACCCCCCTGCCATGCAGAAAAAGCACAATCAAAACACCCCTGACAGATGGCCATCCAGCTTCTGTTTAAAAGCTTCCAAAGAAGGAGCCTCCACCACACTCCGGGGCAGAGAGTTCCACTGCTGAACAGCTCTCACAGTCAGGAAGTTCTTCCTCATGTTCAGATGGAATCTCCTTTCTTGTAGTTTGAAGCCATTGTTCCGCATCCTAGTCTCCAGGGAAGCAGAAAACAAGCTTGCTCCCTCCTCCCTGTGGCTTCCTCTCACATATTTATACATGGCTATCATATCTCCTCTCAGCCTTCTCTTCTTCAGGCTAAACATCCCCAGCTCCTTAAGCCGCTCCTCATAGGGCTTGTTCTCCAGACCCTTGATCATTTTAGTTGCCCTCCTCTGGACACATTCCAGCTTGTCAATATCTCTCTTGAATTGTGGTGCCCACCCCCCCCACCCCACCCTCCCTCCCCCCCCCCCCACCCCCCTTCCCAGGATAATCCTCCAGGTGTGGCCTGACCAAGGCTGAATAGAAAGGGGTAACTGACTGACATTGAACAACGTTCCCCTTACCGGTCCCCCAGGAAATTTCTTTTCTAATGTTCATGTTTGGTGAGATCCCCTTTCGTGGGTGGCTCCTTTGAATCCCCTAAGCCACCCTTCCAACGACCAAAGCCCTTGTAAAAAGATAAACCTCCCACATTAGGTGCCGCTTTTGAACCGGGTTTATATGGCACTTGTTGGAACCTCCAGATATACCCCCAGTGTTTATGGATTTATCTGCCCTGGATAATTTCCCTGGGGCCCCAGCTCCGCCACACAAGCAAGTCCCTAAAAAATCCACATGAACCTGGATGATTCTTATGGTAAATTTGTAGACTCCTAACCCCAGTTTTTTCAACTGGGTTTGGATTGACTGTACGGAAAGGGTCCCCCCTTAGTTTTTCCAGGTAGTCGCCCGAAAACTAAAGTCCTGCTCCCCTCTATCCTTAATGGCATATCCCTTTGTTTTTTCACATTTGAGGGCGAAGCTAAACTATTCTCTCCTCTAAACCTTCTCTTCTGCAGGCTAAACAACAACAACAACAACAATACCTAGCTCTGCAAGACGCTCCTCAGATCCCTGAATCTTTACTTGCTAAGCTCCACATTACTTTGCCTTCACCTTTCCACATGCAGTGAGCTAAGTATCCTGTTTGCGTTTTTGGATGATCTGCTATTTGGAGAGAATTCCTAAACATTCTGATTTGTAAACAGACCTTTTTGGGAACTTAATAAAGATTGAACCCTGCATCTTTGCCTGTTAAGTTCAACATTATTTTGTGGCTGCACTACACTTCAATATTTAAGGGTTAAGTATCCTGTTTGCGTTTTTGGATGCTCTGCTATTTGGAGAGAATTCCCTAACAATCTGATTTGTAAACAGACCTTTTTGGGAACTTTATAAGGACTGAAACCTGCATCTTTACTTGCTAAGCGCAACATTATTTTGCCTCCAATTTTCTGCATGCTGTGAGCTAAGTATCCCATTTGCATTTTTGGATGCTCTGCTATTGGAGGAGAATTCCCAAACATTCTGATTTGTAAACAAACCTTTTTGGGAACTTTCAAGACTAAAACCTGCATCTTTGCCTACTAAGCTCAACATTGCCTGTATTGTGTCTTTGGCCTCGACCTCATGTAAGCCGCATCGAGTCCCTTGGGGAGATGGTAGCGGGGTACAAATTAAGTGTAATAATTATTATTTTGTGGATGCAGAACACTTCACCTTTCCCGCTTGCTGCAAGCGGAGTTAAGTATCCCGTTTGCATTTTTGGATGCTCTGCTCTCCCTAACAATCTGATTTGTAAACAGACCTTTTTGGGAATTTTATAAAGACTGAAACCTGCATCTTTGAACCCTGAATCTTTACTTGCTAAGCTCACCATTATTTTGCCTCCACCTTTCTGCATGCTGTGAGGTAAAGAAGCCGAGCAGTTGCATTTTGTACCAACTTGAGCTTCCGGATCACTGACAGAGGAAGGCCAATGTAGAGGGCGTTACGGTAGTCCAGTCTTGAGATGACCGTGGCCTGGATCACCGTAGCTAGGTCATCCCTGGACAGGTAGGGGGGCAGCCGTCTAGCCTGCCGCAGATGAAAGAAGGCGGTTCTGCTAATGGCGGAGACCTGGGCCTCCATCGTAAGCAGAGGGTCCAAAAGGACTCCCAGACTCTTTACCAATGATGACGGGCGTAGCGCCTCGCCATCCAGGGTAGGCAGCTGGATATCCTCACTGCTCGGTTGACCTAGCCATAGGATCTCCGTCTTTGCTGGATTCACCCTCAACCTGCTGGCACGCAGATTAGAAGGGTGGAAATATAAAGACTGAAAATAAGGTAAATTAAAAAGGGAGAAACCAAAAAGTTCCAAAAACCCTTTTTGGGGGGGGAGGGAAGTACATCCCCATAACAACCCTGAAAAAAAAATCACCAAAGATAGGTACTCTATGGGTGCACCTACACCAGGCCTGGGCCAAACTTGGGGTCCTTCCCCTCCCAGGGTGTTTTTGGGGGAACTCCAACCTCCCACCATTGGGACCTCCCAACTCCCACCGCGCCCTTAAGAGCGGCTTGCGGGAGAAAAGGAAAGGAGGGCCAAACCACTAAGGTGAGGCGCTGTTTAGGAATGGTGGGATGTGGAAGTCCAAAACACCCGGAAACTTGGAGGAAAGCCCAGTTTGCCCATATAAGAAGCAATTTGAGGTCCTTCCATCCCCTACAAAGCACAGTCTATAGAGCAGAGCAACGAGACAGGCACTGCTTGCTTGCTTACCAGCCACGTTGAGGCGGCCACCAAGGAACCATCGGACTCTCCCTTGGCTGAAGTCCGCCTCGCAGTGGGCTTGGTGCGGGGACTCCCACTGGAGCTCCTCCCGGGCCTGCGACCCCCAGAAGGCACCCGGCTGCTCCAAGGCGGTCCGGCGCAGCTCCTCGGGGCTTCCCTTCGGAGGAAGGAGGCGGGAGAAGGAGGCGAAGCAGGCGGAGAAGGGGAGAGGGAGGCCCCACAGCCTGCCTTGCCGGCCCAAGGAAGTTGCAAGGCTCGCCATCGGGAAGAGCGAGCAGGCAGGCAAAGCAAGGCAGCCTTGCACCTTCCTTCCTCTCTCTCTCTCCTCTTCCTTCCTTCCTTCTTTCCCTCCTTCCTTCCTTCTTTCCCCACCGCCCCGTTCCCGCCCTTCCCTCCTCCTCCTCCTCCCCACAATCCTACACACCCTCAGCCACTTCCCCCTTCCTTTCAAGTTTGAAGCTTGCAAAGTCAATCGGTCAATGTACTGTAGTAGCTGCATAGAGGTCGCCTGGCTATTGTTGCCTGTAGGCATCCTCTGTTTGGGTACAGAGCCTACATTATAGAATCATAGAATCACTGTGTTTCTTAAGATCACTGTGCTCTTATAGATGACACTGCCAATTACTCCTGTGGGGGAAAAATATCAGTGTTTATATTGCAGGCAGATTGCTATGAATCACTGATATTTATCACAGTGGAAAGAAGATGACTTCACACAGTACACATTTTATGATAATATTTACACAACCAATGGAACTTATCCTGTAATACGATCAGTCCTCTATATTTGCAGATTTGATTATCTACATATTTGATCAGCACAGTTTCTCTAAGTCCCCTGGAAGTTGCGCGAAAACAGTAGTTCTCAACCTTCCTGATGCCACGACCCCTTAATACAGTTCCTCATGTTGTGGTAAAATTATTTTAGTTGCTAGTTCATAACTTTGTGTGTGTCAGGAGTCACTTGAGAAACTGCTAGTTGCTTCTGGTGTGAGAGAATTAGCCATCTGCAAGGACGTTGCCCAGGGGACGACCGGATGTTTTGATGTTTTCATAGAATCAAAGAGTTGGAAGAGACCTCATGGGCCATCCAGTCCAACCCCATTCTGCCAAGAAATTGCATTCAAATCACCCCTGACAAATGGCCATCCAGCCTCTGCATAAAAGCTTCCAAAGAAGGAGCCTCCACCACACTCCGGGGCAGAGAGTTCCACTGCTGAACAGCTCTCACAGTCAGGAAGTTCTTCCTAATGTTCAGAGGGAATCTCCTTTCTTGTAGTTTGAAGCCATTGTTCCGTTGTCCTATCTCCAGGGAAGCAGAAAACAAGCTTGCCCTCTCCTCCCTGTGGCTTCCTCTCACATATTTATACATGGCTATCATATCTCCTCTCATCCTTCTCTTCTTCAGGCTAAACATGCCCAGCTCCTTAAGCCGCTCCTCATAGGGCTTGTTCTCCAGACCCTTGATCATTTTAGTCGCCCTCCTCTGGACACATCCAGCTTGTCAATATCTCTCTTGAATTGTGGTGCCCAGAATTGGACACAATATTCCAGGTGTGGTCTAACCAAAGCGGAATAGAGGGGTAGCATTACTTCCTTAGATCTAGACACTATTATTTTCTTCTTACTCCTCATTCGCTGTGTTGAACTTTTGCCTCCCTTTATTTACTTATTTTCAGGATTTATATTCCACCCTTCTCACCCCCGGAGGGAACTCAAGGCGGATTACAATGCACATATACATGCCATAGACACACAACGTATATAGACAGACACACAGAGGCTATTTAACATTCCAGCTTCGAATTCCGGCTGTCGCTTCACCGTCCACTTGGGACACCCATGGAAAATATGCCACACAGGTGAACAGTAAAGAACAAGTAGTTTACTCTTCGTAGTTCAGAGCATCATATGTACAATGTGATAAGTTACATCAACTCACATAATGTCCTTTTATGAGATTGTGAGCCGTTCTGACTTTGAGAGCCTTTCAGCAGTGGAACTCTCTGCCTCAGAGTGTGGTGGAGGCTCCTTCTTTGGAAACTTTTAAACAGAGGCTGGATGGCCATCTGTCAGGGGTGCTTTGAATGCAATATTCCTGCTTCTTGGCAGGGGGTTGGACTGGATAGCCCATGAGGTCTCTTCCAGCTCTATGATTCTATGGTCTTTCTTTAGTCCACGTGGATAAACTCCTTCAGCAACTCATGAAGCAAGAGCACATGACAAACTCGGTCTCTCTCTGCTGCTCTCTCTGCACCTGGATAGCTCAAGCCTGAACAAAAATGTAACAGTATCCAAAAGTCCCAGGCTCAGCCTGCTTCCTGAGCATTGCTTGACCAATCAGCTTCATGCATCTTATTTTACAGTTGACACACACATTAACTGATTCCTTGCATGCCCCAACAATGGCAATATAAGGCGACCCTATTGCAGGAAATTTTTTTGCAAGATTTGTTTTACTTTTGTCTTCCTTTGAGGCTGAGAGAGTGTGACTTGCTCATGGTGACTTAGTAGATCTCCATGGCCAAGCAGGGATTTGAATCCTGGTCTCCAAAGTCATCCAAACAACTATACCACACTGGCTGGCTTTCTCATGGGCAGACAATGGATATAAGCACTGGTCCTTATCAATGCAGGCAATTGAGTTCTGTTTTGAGATTTCACACAAGTAATTAATTGGAATTTAAGAGCCTAATTTGTCACCATGGATTTTATTTTGCAGTGTGTGGTATATTTTAAGAGATATGCATTTTAATGGCAGTGCTCATCTGGTTTTTTAATAGCAGTACAACAAGCAAAAATTTAGCAAAGAAACATGTATACAAACATATGAATACACATATAGTTAAGAAAATAGTATATATGTTAAAGGCTGCCTGTCAGGAAGAACACACCTGTCCCAGGTGTGATCTATGCTTTACAAGTAAATATGCGAATGCAGCAAAAATAAGCCTCCCAATGGCTCAGGAAGAGTGAATATGCAAGCACCCATGTATGTGTGTGCACATGTGTTCCCATATACCACAGCTCAAGATTTTCCAGAAATTCCAGAAGTGTTTTATCTCAAAATCAACAAACCAGTTCCAGTAGTTTACTTCAGTGCATCTTTTTGTATTTTGTTCAACTGGGGTTGAAAGACAAACAGAAGTAGCAACAGTAGATAAGGAATCAAGTAAAGAGAAACCATCTGTAATTACGGAGATCAACAAAAGACTTCATTTACAAATCAGATCCAAAAATAGATTGCATTGGTCAGAAAGATTATGTGGGAACGTTGTGGAGAAAATTCATGGGAGACGAAATGCTTTCATGAGTGTCTATTAAACAACAAGTTGTTTACTTTAAGGGCAGTTCTGGCAACACTATGTTAGAGTACGAAGCTAAGTCTGAGTTCTCTTGTTCTGGGTTCAAGTCAAGTCTTGGTTTTTAATTTAATATATGCTGGAACTTTTCTATGTTCCTGTTCATGTACTTCTAAGTTTTAGTAGTGATACCTTCTTGCTTGTGGACTTATGCTGTACCTGTGTTTTCTGGCTCTTCCTGGACTTTGTCACCTCTGGAACTTGATGAGACATTTGGTTTATTGATTGGTTATAACCTATAGCGAAACCTTTTTGGATAATATATTTTCCTTTTTTTATTCCTGCTTTTTATATGCTTTTTATGAGTTTTACAATAAACCGTTGGCTTTTATTCCTGGACTCTAGTGTGGTGATCATAGGTGTTTCCGGGTCTGGAGTGCAGCAAAAATAATTCCGTTTCATTCCCACTGCAACATTTTCCCCACCATCTATATAAATAAAAATGAAATGTTCGTTTGTGGGATTAACAGAACTCAAAAGCCAGTAGGCCAATTGGCACCAAATTTGGACAGCATACACCTAACAACCCAATGTATGTCCTTCACTCAAAAAATTTTTATTTTTTGCAGACCTTTTCGGAAGCAAAGCCTAACACTATACTAGGCCTAACTAACCCCCTTACTATCTATTCTAGCAAATCTACCTATCTCTGTACATACCTACATTTGCAATAAACACCTTATGCAATAAAACATTTCTGCAATAAATACATACCATAAATACATTATATAAAATAAATACATTCCTGTAAGGGAGAAAAACATGTTAAACACATTATAACACTGCATATAATCGATCTAACACAGTAAATACTATACCTTTTGCAATCCTAACCTTCACCTTCACTCAGGGCTCTGGACAAGATATCCGCAATAACATTCTGAGTACCCTTTATATGTTTTATTTCAAAATCGTAATCTTGGAGGGCTAAACTCCAACGAATTAACTTGTTATTAGTGCCCTTAACCTGGTGTAACCACCACCTTAAGGGTGAATGGTCAGTGCACAAGGTAAACCTTCTTCCCCATAAGTAGGGTTTCAATTTTGTGATAGCCCACACTATCGCCAAACATTCCCTTTCGATTACTGACAAGTGCTGTTCCCTCTCTATCAGCTTTTTACTGAGATACAGCACAGGTTGCATCACACCCTCTTTGTTTTCCTGACCTAGCACTGCCCCAAGTCCTACCTTGGAGGCATCTGTGGTTAAAACAAAAGGTTTCTCAAAATTGGGCGCAATCAAAACAGGTTCACTTATTAAGGCACTCTTCAACAAATCATAGGAGGTCTGACACTCAGGTGTCCACTTAATTTTATCCGGTGATGACTTTTTTGTACAATCAGTTAATACTGCCGCCAGAGAACTAAACTCAGGAATAAAACGTCTGTAGAATCCTACAGCTCCCAAAAACGATCGTATTTGTTTCTTTGTTTCTGGAATCGGCCATTCACGTATTGCCTGCACCTTATCCATATCTGGCAATATGGAACCTCCTCCCACTATGTGTCCAAGATATTTAACATGTGACCTGGCCATTTGGCACTTAGAGGCTTTGACTGTTAAACCAGCCTCCCGGATTTTGTGCAACACCTTCCCTAAGTGCTCCAGATGTTGCTCCCACGTCTGGCTATAAATTGATAAATCATCGATATACGCTTGAACAAAGTCTTTCATCCCTACTAACATTTGATCAATTAACCTCTGGAATGTGGCTGGGGCATTTTTTAGCCCAAAACTGAGGACAGTAAATTGGTACAACCCATCCTTAGAAATAAAAGCGGTCTTCTCCTGGTCCTCTGGATGCATAGCCACCTGCCAATATCCTTTGGTGAGGTCCAGGGTTGTTATGTATTGTGCTGACCCTATGGTCTCTATTAGCTCATCTATTCGCGGCATCGGATACACATCAGAGATGGTAACCTGATTTAATTTATGGTAATCTACACAGAATCT